CAGCGCAGCATTCGCAGGTCTAGGGCTGCGCAACGCCCGGTGCGTACTTGAGAAACTCGACTGGATTTTACTGAGCAGCAGCAGCACTGTACCTGCTCTAAGCCACCATTGTGTCACCTAATCAACTTTACCATCACAGCATCCCGATCGCGCACCAGCCAAGCCACGCACTCTGTGTAAACACCACACTACGAAATCCCAATAGGAAGGTCATGAAGCTCACATGCACCCTGTTAGACATACACTGATTTTCCACACGGCTCTAATTCAGTGTAATGTGTAATGACAATCCAACACCCAAAGCATAGCACCACGTCCAGGACCACTAACACCTCAGCATCTCCGCTGCTAGCACCTCCAGTTCTGTGTAGATACATACCGGCATGACCAACACGATCCCTATGTTGCCTGATTATTATGCTATGACATGTAGCTCAGAGCTGCAACACCATTCATTACATTGGGCCAGTGTTGTACTGTGTGAATGTGTACGTCAAAGTCGACAATGCTTGCTCCCTAGCATACCGTTGTACAGGGAAAGTAGTACTTGTGCTACTCTTTACCAATAGCCATGCGTTTGCCTAACTTGGTTTTCTTGTGTGTGTGTGTGTGTGTGTGTGTGTGTGTGTGTGTGTGTGTATGTGCGCGCGTGTGTGTGTGCGTGTGTGTGTGTGTGTACTCGCGTCGGTGTGCGTGTTCTTTTGAGTAGGCCTGTGAAAGGGTTGGTGTGGAGATTCCACGTTTCTGCTATCATGACCGTCTCTCAGTGGCCGGCAATTGCCGAATGTGTCTGGTGGAGGTTGAAAAGTCACCAAAGGTACCCGAGAACAGTCCCGCTGCACACCAATGTCCAATATCAGCTTGTAGAACTAGTCATTCATTGGTGATGTCATGTGCAACCCTGTTGAACACAGCATCTTGTAGCTTTATGCACTCTTTCCAGTGCGTTTAACGCTCTCGGCTGTATTCTGATGTAAATTAGCTGTTATCTCCTCTTTTTTTGCCTTTGTGTCTGCAGCCTGTTGCAGCATGTGCCATGCCGGTGATGAAGGGCTGGCGTATAAAAACCAATTCGCCAGCAACAAAGAAAGCTCGGTATGTTTCCACTGCAGGTGTCTGGGCGTCGTGTATGCGTAGAAGAGCACTAGCATTGTGGCTTGAATTGGTATGCCTGCCTCGTTTGCTTGTGGTTCTCTTCTTCAACGCTCCCTTTCCTGTTTCATCATGCACTGTGTTAACGCTATCTAGGGAGGGAGTGATGGAGTTTCTTCTTGTCAATCATCCTCTGGATTGTCCAATCTGTGATCAAGGAGGTGAATGTGACCTTCAGGTAAGCTTATAGTGAGCTGTCTATTTTTACTCTTTGACCCCTTCAACGTTATAAACTTATAATATTACTGTTGTGTTGTGTGTTTGCCGATACATACCGTAGTGACGCACATAAAGGCACATGCCCCTATGAGTGAGTTTTTGCCTTATTTGCTATTTTTTGCGGGTCGTTTTGTCTCACACATAAGCGCATGCGCTTGCGTTGCTAGCGTATCAGTACCTTGCGTAATTATGCACATAGTGCAATACCGCAATGCACATTGAACTATGTGAACATGGTGTTTTTGTGGTGTCTGTGTGTCGCGGATGGAATTGCATTTGGGTTGACTTATAAGCCCATGCGCTTATTTGTGAGGGTGCGCTTATGCCCGGGTATGGGCACATGTGCTTATATGCGCGTCACTACAGTATATTGACTTGATTATTGAAGGTACACTGTATTTCTAAAACGTTCTGTATGTCTTTTATGCTGACGGTGTAGGATCAGTCGATGGCGTTTGGAAGTGATCGCTCTCGCTTCACCGATATTGCTTTTGAGGGGAAACGGTAAGCTAAAGATGCGTGTGCGTGTGTATGTGTGTGTGTGTGTGTGTGTGTGTGTGTGTGTGTGTGTGTGTGTGTGTGTGTGTGTGTATGTGTGTGAAAAATAGGGATTCACTGGCCAGAAAAAGTCACTTCAAACAGCTGTGTGGTGGATACCAGGCTAAAAATAGTGGTGGTCAATTCATCAGCCTTGCAAGCTGTTGAATGGTGTAATCCCAGCACAAGTTGCTATGTCTAACATAGCTGTTCGCTATCATCGCTTCCGCGATGGGCATGTCTGAGGTATGTGTGTGTGTGTGTGTGTGTGTGTGTGTGTGTGTGTGTGTATGTGTGTGTGTGTGCGTGTATGTGTGCGTGTATGTGTGCGTGTATGTGTGTGTGTGTATGTGTGTGTATGTGTGTGTGTGTGTGTGTATGTGTTCTTATGCTGTTGACTGTAAGTAAATGAAAGTTTAGCTCTTAGGCCCATCCGCTCCGTGGAGATCGCATGTCGTTTCGTTAGCCTTCCCTCTACATGAAAACACTGTGCAAGGCCTAAATGCAACACCTAAAGCAAAGACTTTGTGAATGTTCCCCAACGTGTTTACAGTCCATTCAGAAAAAGATGAGCGCTGGCTTTGGAGAGCTCCCGTATTTGGCGATTCTGTTGTACCCTGTGCAGTGCCGCGAGATTCGAAACTTGAAAAAGGGTCCAAAAAAGGTACCTCAACTGGGGTTCGAACCGCAAATGTACTGTTATGCAAGTAGAGTGAAAGGCGCCTACAAGTATATTCTGGCTGCAGCCTCATCTCATTTCTTTCTGTGCTTGCTTTGTCTTGGTGAATGAAATACTGCAGTGCGGTGGAGGACAAGGAGATTGGTCCATTGATCAAGACGATCATGACACGCTGTATCCACTGTACCAGATGTATTCGGTGAGTTAGTACCTTCACCGCTGCTGCTGCTGCTGCTGTGTGCTTTGAAAGCCAATGTAGCTAACTACGCAGATCACTACGCAATCATGTAGTGTAAATGTTACATGTGTGTTGATAGAAGTCAGAAGTGTCAGAATGTCTCCTTATGACTGTCGGCTAGATAATGTGTACATGTGGTGTTTGTTTGTTTTGAGTGTTTATGAGTTTGCTATGCTGTAGTAATACACTCATGTTCATGTTTGGGTATCCAACAGTATTGTCACTTGAGCTACAGTAAACCGATGATGCTACATGCACATGGCTGTCCTGTGTGTGCTCTGTGTCATCATAGCAACACTGCGTAATGGCTGGTGATGTTTTTTTGCATTTGTGTTGTACTAACTTGGTGCTGGTGTGGCGACCACTTCTGCTTCTGCTGTTGGGGTTGGGGTTGGTGTGTTGGTGTTGGCTGGTGAGCAGATTCGGTAACGAGATTGCTGGTGTTGAGCAGCTGGGCACTACAGGCCGAGGTGGTGATATGCAGGTAGGCTGCTTATGCTGCACTTACACACACACACACACACACACACACACACACACACACACACACACACACACACACACACACACACACACACACACACACACACACACACACACACACACACACACACACACACACCATACCTACAGTCTAGTATATCTGCTACTCACATGGATGTACTAAAGCACATGAAGAAGCATTCACAGTTTCTCATGTTGGACAGATCAAGAAGTTCAACCTGAAGTAGTTAACTACTATTCTGATTTTACGACTGCAAATACATGTAACCCAGCGGTTCCTAGCCATAGAGTTGGCACTACTGCTTGTTCTTATGCAGTACTGTGATTGTGTTCAATGTACTCCTTGCTTGTTGACATTACATGTAGTTAGACTTCCCTCCAGACTTGGCCAGTTAACTTCAGTCCTTACACACACCCTCCATCTCAATTTGTTTTGGGTGCACAGGTTGGAACGTACATTGAGCGTATGTTCAAGTCAGAGCTGTCAGGGAATGTAATCGGTAAGCTAACACGAACATTTTGCTCATTTAATTTGATACTTTGTGCATGTGTGTACAAGTAAGTCCTTTTTCTGCACCTTGTCCTCACCCACTTACTGAAGTGTGGTGAGCCCATATGTGGGACCATTTCCAAGTCCACACAGAGTTTGGGGATTTTAGGAGGTGTCGGCCGTTGGGGGCGGTTCAATAGCCAAATGAGTCATCTTTCCAAGATTCCTTTTGAATCTCTCTTCCTCTCCGGGGGAGACCCACGTGACCAGTTTTGGCAGTAAGCAAGTACAAGTATGTCTCTCTATAGCGCACATGCATATACGCACACACGCACACACACACACACACACACACACACACACACACACACACACACACACACACACCTTGACCTTGATCTTGCCCATTGCGTACGCAATGATAGCGAATGTCGGAAAGTTCAAGTGAGAACACGAGCGCAGAACTTGGCATGTCGTTTCAGATCTCCTGGTCGACGAAATGGGCGTCCACAGACACATAGAAGAGGATCAGGAGCGGGCCGTGGCGGTGGGGTGCTACTCGCAACTCGTCTCCAGCCGCATACGCACACACGCACACACACACACACACACACACACACACACACACACACACACACACACACACACACACACACACAGTAACAACCACGGTCCGTATGTATCCTCTGACATATTGTGACTATTCGTACGAAAACTATTTCTGATTGATTTCTCTGTTTGTTTGGTTTGTACTTACTGCAGACTTGTGTCCAGTTGGCGCCCTCACATCCAAGCCCTATGCGTTCATGGCCAGACCATGGGAACTAAGGTAAAAATACTGCAGCTAGAATTGTGCTGGACTCTCTATCGAAACCTTTCAGCCATAGCGTTACGGAGGGCAATGCTGAGAACGTGGGCATAGCGCCCGATAAACACTGTGTTGCTTTTGAAACAAGGCAGTCTGACGACACACTCAAACTTCGTCTAGAGTGAAATGTCCTGGAAGTTTGGCAGCTCAAAAAGTCAAGTACGAACTCCATCCGGGCATTGTAAGGGAGTCAAGCTGTGTCTGACATCTATCTCACCCATGCTTAGCAGTCTCTCCACGATGTCCTTCTGCTTTACTGCTTCTTGGCGGTGTACTTTAGACCAGAATTTCCAGAGCAAGAAGTGACTCTTCTGAGAAATTAAACTGTTTGATTGCATTTAGAGATCCCTTAGCAAGATCTTTCAGCAAGGAATAGAGCGCGGCAAGCAGGGCAGGCACCGATGACTGGCCATCATCAACATTGCCATGTTAGTTAATTGCTTGGCAAGGTATTTTGGGTAAATGGACAAACTCATCGAAAGCAATGCTCTACTACGAACTAAAATGCTTTCAAACTTGATTTTGATTTTCAATCCTTCCCGCCCAGCATGATGTACATTAGCTGCTGATGCAGAACCAGAGCTCGGAGGCACTGGTCACTACTACATGTACATGCAGGTCACATACCGCCACCGCCTTCCCACAATGTGACACCTGACTAGAGACTTAGAGTACTGTAGTAGTAGGATCTCAAGCTAGGAAATCTCTTCTTTCTCTTCTTTGACGCTTTGTAGTAGAGAAATAATAGACCTATGTGTGATGGCTGGGATTGTTGAACTTTGTGCCCGCTTGGTGGAAAAAATTGCAAATCGTTAGGTTTTAAACTCTGACAGTACACCTGGTACACTGTACACGCTCTGCGCTGCAGTGTGTGGTTGTTTCTATGGTGATCAGTTTTCAACATGTCTTCCCATGGAAGAATATATTCACCCTACTGTATAGCAGGAAATTTTCGGACGGAAATATTTTCGGACAAAGCCGAATTTCGACATTTCGTACGGATTTTATTTTCGTACAGTGGTGCATGCTAAATGCACTTGTTTGCTTGCGGTACGCATGTATAGTGTACATAACTTCACAGGAACAAATTTTAGTACGGAATTAATTTTAGTACAAAAGAGGGCGTGTACGAAATCGTACGAAAATAAATTCTGTCCGAAAATTTCCTGCTATACAGTATGTTGCTGTCAGCCCTGAAGGGGGGGGGGGGCATCTTGTACAAAGTCGCCTGGCTGGTGAAACCATGCTGTCACTGTTTCTTGTTCCTGTTCTGTTTCTTGTTATTGACCAGGCGCGTGGACTCAGTGGATGTGTTTGATGCAGTGGGATGTAACATCAGTGTTAATACACGCACCGGTGAAGTCATGCGTGTCCTGCCACGTCTCCATGAGGTCAGTACCAGCATCTACATGGGATGCCTAAGGCTAGTGGGGCTGGGGGTCGAGAGGGGAGATATCAGATGAGAGAAGGTAGGCTAGTTTATGCATTACCCAGGAGTCAACCAGTACAGCTATCTAGCCTGGTGCTAGTTCAACCCCTCATGATATCCAGCGAGTGGCACATCTGGTCTCACAGCGACCGACTCCGAGGCCAAGGGATTGGTAATTCATGGCTTGCATCTTTAGTTGATCAAGACTGTTTGGCCCCTGGGTAGTGTTGGGCATGTTGTGGTTGCTGAATTCATTCACTGAGCATGGGGGTGATGCGGCATACAGTGTACCATGTACTTGTCAGCAGTAATTTAGCTTAGTCAATTCAAGTAAGTGCATTACAAGCTAATAATGCTTAAAAAGTAGCAATATCAGACGAAATTTCCATCTTGAAACCTGTGGAATAAGTGATGCACCTATCGATTTACAATGTAGTGCCAAAACGCTTGGTACTGATCAAATGTTAGGTGAATCCATTCCAGACAATAGAAGTGGTCTTTATACGCACTCGAAGTTGGATGACAGGCACCCGCCATTGTTGCATGTGAAGATGCATCAATGCACACTAACTGCATGCTGAGACAGCACAAAGAAATTCCGCTCGCGCAGTGCATCATGCGCCGTTGCCATGGGTAACAAAGTGCAGCGCTGAGGGGAAGTGCAAAATTAAGAGGTGTGCCGAAAAGAAAAACAGATCTGTTTTCTCCAAGCAACAAATAATAGTAGCTCGTGTCTGTTTAGCTCTCGGTCATGGCCAACTCCTTGTCGGAATCAAGTATATTAATTTTGTTTATCTATCGCAACGCTAGTAATAGTGTAGTGTATGCGTGGAGACGCTTTCCACCGCATATCAGACAATCAAACGACAACTTGCTCGTCTTCTCAAGAACTCTTTTAGAACACGGTGCAATGCACGCACAAGAAACACCTTGTGCACGCAGACAAAAATAAGAGTGCACTTAGTGGCATATACCGTCACAGCTGCAGCTCAGCTCACATCAATCGCGTGATCGAGCGCAGACGTGGCATAAAGAAAAGGACAAAACAAGAAAACAGAAAAGAGTGAAGTGAATTTGAATCGCAGCGCGAAGCTTTGAAAGTAAATAAATATTGAGAGAAGGAAATAAAATGAAGTTGTGCAAGCATAACACTACGGAATAATGGCATCAAGTATGATGCTCGCTGGCCCACATGACTTTTCAGCCCAGTGTAGGATTATGATCGTGTGCCACGGATGACCCTTGACCTTGTTGCTATGGAATCATGCAACACAGGTTTAGGGCGATGGCGTAAGTACTCTGACATCTCTACTCAAAGGTCATTGGGTGGTAAATTATCTATCTAGATGTTGCCAGGAATGGACTCCAGAACCTGCAACTAGCACCAACACAGTGAAAAGAAATCATGGTAATATCTAACGCTGAATTCGAAATGTTGACGGTGTGATTCATTTACTCGACATTGCTGGTCGTGTGTGCTCTGTTTAAGGATATCAATGAAGAGTGGATCTCCGACAAATCAAGGTGGGAATGGATAGATTTGTGCTTTCACAGCTCATGCAGAGGAAGCTATAGTTTTGTACTCTTCTGCTGCTGCTGCCGCCACGTCCACTGCTGTTGCTGCTGTCGTCACTGCTCCTGCTGCTGCTCCTGCTGCTGCTGCCACTGCTGCTGCTGCTGTCGTCCCTGCTGCTGCTGTCGTCATGTTCTGTCATGAATGAATGGACGTTTCCCGTCTTGGCTGACAGGACTTGACTTGAGTTGAACAGTGTGTTGTATTTTGCTTCACTTATAAACAATATCAGCTCATGATTGTTTTGGCAAGAAATTTGGTGTGGAGCTGCACGTACAATATATAGGGCAACCTGAAATATTTCCTTTTTAAAGCCTCTCTCTTGACTGCACCATTCCGACAGAAATCTTAGCAGTGAAAGTCCACTTGACGAGTTCTTCCTCCGTGTGAACCCTGTGATAAGCCTTTTGCGCGTTGTACAGATGTACGAAGTTCAGTACTAGGGCGTAGGTGTGTACAGACCCGATTGGGTGTTCATTGTGTGCTATGCATGCGCATTTGACCAATTTTAGCCTCATAATTAATGGCAAACAATCCCTTTTCCAGCTTCTTCACTTTGGTTAGAACTAATGACTAGCTAGATCTTTGTCAGAAAAGGTTTTCGTTTGAAATGCCTTCAGGGCCCATTTCTTAGTGGAAATAGCAGAAAACACAATAGGGTCCTGCGCATTCAACACCCATTAGGTTCTACGGGATTTCGTGCATCTGTACAACGTGCAAAAGGCTTATTCTGTTGTATTGCTTGGACGTGTTCCACTGTTGGATTGTGACTAAGTATGTGTTTCCCACTGGTACTTACCTTGTATGTGGGAAATCCCCCTGGTACTTACCTTGTATGTGTTTCCCACCGGTACTTACCTTGTATGTGGGAAATCCCCCTGGTACTTACCTTGTATGTGGGAAATCCCCCTGGTACTTACCTTGTACCACTGGACATATGCATGTATGTTATGTGTAGATTTGCTTTTGATGGCTTGAAGCGTCAGCGCCTGACCACTCCTATGGCCAAGGATGACAATGGACAGCTGGCCGTGGTTGGATGGGCGGAAGCCTTACATCAGATTTCCAGCCAGGTACGGGTGTGAATGGTAGCGCTCAGGTCTGTTGTTTTCTTGATTCGTGATTGGACCACTGTCAATACTTTGCCAATACGGAAGATATGAGTAGTGTATATGAGTACGCTGGGCTCAGCAATGCACTGTTCAACACCCTACACAACCATACCCAGGTGATAGTGTGAGGTGTTAGAGTGGTACTAACTATGTCATTGCGAAGAGGACGGTGCTGAAACTTGAAACCTGACTGCATGAAACTGGAAGACACGCCCGAAAGGTGGTGGACAATGCTCCTTGAATCTCATAGACACCAGCTATAATATTTCTGTAGTTGACATGTGCGCTTCTGTTTGTTGAAATACCTGTGCTTGTAGCTTTCCACTCTAAGTGGTAATGAAGTGGCTGCTGTTGCCGGTGCTATGATGGATGCTGAGGTTAGTAGTGTCACACGCTCTTCGTCTTTAATTGAGAGTCGGGCCATACCGCTTAGAGGAGAAGGCAGAAACGCCTGTATATCTGGTGAAGTAAAAATGATATCAAACAAGTCAAGTCCACGCGTGTGGACTTCTCTGTTTTGCAGTGCATTTTGATCTTTAGAGTTCAGGTGAAGTGCTAAGCAGTTTGTTTTGTGGATTGAAATGAGCCTGATTTTGCGTTTTGTTACGTGTTTTGTCGTTTGCATTTTGCGGGGAGACTGAAAACATGTCCTTCTCCGTATGGGTATGCATGTTACCGTCGTTGACAGCTCTGTGGCAGTCTAGAGATGCCCTAGCTGGTAACGGCCTGACCTTGTTTGCATTAGCTCTGTGTGTTTTGCCAATGCGTGTCCACTCTCAGTGCTTGGTGGCAGCTAAAGATCTCCTGCACCGATTCGACTCTGAATGTCTGTATACGGAGGAGCCATTCCCAGTGGCTGCTGGCGGGTAGGTTTTATTTCCTAGGTTTCAATCCTTTCTGCCGGACATTCTAAGTACATCTAGTGTGTTTCTGGAAGAAGCTGACCACACTGTACATGTGCGAGTATTGGGTACTTCCTCCGCGTCATTAAAATTGTTGCTTCGCACACCGCAATGTTTGTGAATTGCTCGTCTTAGTCAGACTGTTGGAATTGCTGTTTTCTGTGTTCGAACATTGGTCCGACCCTTCCTGCGCAATATATACGTGTTTCTGAAGCCGTGGTGGTCTACGACTTTGTCGGAGCTCTCTTCCACACCAGACAAATTCATCTCGCTCCGCACTATTCCATGCGAGAGCGCACATCGTTTTCTGGAGTTCGTGCCGTCCCACATCGTTCGCGTGGGCATTTATCAAGATGGGAAGCTCGGGTATAAGAATCCTGGTATCTCTCCTGAATACGAAATGCTGAAGTTGACGATAGCAAGAACAGAGTGTTCTCCGATTCCTAAAATGCGCTATGAAGGTGCTGCTGTTAGCTCCCGGCTAAACGAAGTCCCCTCACACTTCCAGAACACAGGGGTTTTATAGTATTGAATATGGAATAAGTATTTCGACAAGAGAGTAGACAAGAAAAGACTTGGAGAACGGAACGACAAGAACAACTCAGGACTAGAGAACCACTGGAGCATGCGCTCTTCTTCACGTGAGTGGCTCTCATTGCTAAGGGAAACGAGCGGGAAATACGAATAGTGAGTACTGTAAGACATGTATATATAACGAGGAAGCAAATCTAACGTTTTAACGGATGACATTTCTTCGTTACAATAAGATCCGTTGAGGCGGTACTGCTTCATATATGCTGTGTGTGGATATGGCAGAATACTGCAAGATCGTTAACATATCTTCTCGTTAACCTATGAATTTTGGACAATCGTTAAATTTGCGACTCGTTATAATAACATGTCTTACAGTATGTACATCCCTATTATAAATGCACCTATTACACTGTGCCCCCCTAGCAAAAATTCACGTCCACGGAAATGAACGAAATATCTAGGAAACAAACAAAAGAAAACAAACCAAATAATAAACTCAGTCCAGGACATAGTCAGCTAGTCGAGCAGGTGCAGTGCGAACACGGCCAGAATGACGAGGAACAGGAGAAGAAGTACGAACCGGATCAGACGACGGCGGCTGTAGCGGCGGAACGCAGCGCGGCAAATCATCATCAGGCAGCGGCAATGTAACAGGACCGGACACAGTTACAGCTTTCTTGAGGCGATTGAAATGGACGGTACGTTCACACCCAGGCATGGACAAGGTATACGACGTAGGACCATTAACACGAACAACACGAAATGGACCGGACCAATAACGGTGGAACTTGGCAGACTCTCCGGCGTGAATTACCTTATCATGCAGCCAGACTAAATCGCCAACAACAAACGAAGCACCACTGCAGTGAGCATCATATACTGACTTCTGGTGACGATGGGCAGCAGCTAATTGATCACGAGCAAGAGAATGAGCCAGAGCTAAACGGTCACGTACTAGCTGAACATAGGCAAATGGGGAGAGCTCGGGAGGATCGGGAGGAGGAAAGACCAGATCAACAGGCAGGCGAAGGCGAAAGACAAACATCAACGTGCACAATAATGGGTGAGATAGCACCACATACCTCCTCGAGGGGCTCCACTCGGACGACTGACGGCGGCCCCGTGTCACCAGTCAAACCTAGTTTTTTGAGTGTGGGCAAGATGCAATGAAGTGGCCCTCTTCACCACATCCATGGCACGCTCCACGGACAGGCCTGGCAAAACTCTGGCCACGACTACGGCGAGGCGCACCAGCACCACGGGCAACAAAACGGACATGGTCTTGCTGGGGTCGGGTGGGGCGATACAGGCTCACGCTCTCCATCTTTGCCTCCAAAGCAGAGACGCGAATCGAATTTCGACAAAAGCGAAGCCAACTGGTTTCGCTCAGATTCCGATTTCAAATTCAGTGGACCGACTGCTGTGTAGGGGTCACGACCACGAGAAGTGCGACCGAGCTTCCCTTCCGGAGCCATGGCAGCAGCAGCAAATACGGCTGTGTGTACTGGGTAGGCTCGGGCCTGCTCGCAAGCATAGATAGCACCTACCTCGATGGCCTTTTGGACTGCCGCATCCAAATTAGTTGGGCAAGGTGACGCCAACGCCAAGCGCAAATCCTTTGATGCCTGCCCATCAATAATTGCAACAGCATCGAATCAAGCAGTGGGCCTTCCTGTACTGGATAGGCTCGACGAGCGAGCCGACGAAGTTCTGTGGCATATCCGTGTTGAGTTTCACTCGCCAGCTTCACTCGCTGGCGAAGACTGGCCTCGTGCATCAGGGCTTGCTGGGGCGGCTCAAGACAGACATGAAGTGCCTCGACTGCGTCGGAAACGTTCATGTCAGCCGTGTGGGTTAGGATTTCGGTAAACATCTCGTGAGCTGTACCAACAAGGCGAGTAGCCGTAGCTTTTGGTCGTCGTCGTACCCACTCAGCTCGCATGTGTGGACGAAATGCCTCATGTATGTGCTGAAATCTTGGCCTGGCTGATTTCCGAATGTCTCGGGAAGCTAGACTGGCTTCGGCAGTGGACGCGCATGTGCATGTGGTGTGTCTGTGTCCGGCAAGCGAAAACGATGGGACAACCCTTGTACCAGCGAACTCTCGCGCTCTTCAGCAATGCTCATGTCGCAGCCAGCTTCAGCGAAGCTACGATCTAGCTTTTCTTGTCTCTTGGATTTCGCTGAACGGCCCATTGTGAACAAAATTGTTTTTGTATTTTTGAATTTTCGAAAAAAATCTGCAAAATTTCCCGTGGACTCGATCGACGAGTTGATCAACTATCGATCTAAATCTACGTAACCTATCGTGTGTAGCGGCAAACAACCAAATTTGGCAGAGATTCCAAATAGGCAACTACGGCTCGTATCTACGGACACAGTGTAGACTCTACTAGTACGGTACTATTACTACCCAGCTAGCAGCTACTAGTATCCTAACAACAGACAGCAGTCAGTATGCAATCATGCACAAAACACGGACACAGAAAATGTTCTGAAAAATGTTTCGCCAGACAGGTTGGCGCCAATGTGTGACCTATGGACTGTAAACAATGCATGCAACAAGAAAACGACGAGCAGAAAGAAACACAATACAGAAAGGAAAAAATCGACGAAGAGAGTGGATGAGGATATGGTAGTTAGTTCACTTGTGTGGGCCTCCGTGGTTCTTCATAGCAGACAATCTCCGAAGGCGTACACACTCCGCCAGCGATGTAGACGTGGACGTTTTCCGCTGCCACCAGTGTTAGCTCCCGGCTAAACGAAGTCCCCTCACACTTCCAGAACACAGGGGTTTTATAGTATTGAATATGGAATAAGTATTTCGACAAGAGTGTAGACAAGAAAAGACTTGGAGAACGGAACGACAAGAACAACTCAAGACTAGAGATCCACTGGAGCATGCGCTCTTCTATACGTGGGTGGCTCTCACTGCCAAGGGGAACGAGCGGGAAATACGAATAGTGAGTATGTACGTCCCTATTATAAATGCACCTATTACTATGCAAAGGTAGCAGGTCTGAAAACACCAACAAAATCAGCGAAGCGCTTGCCAAGGAAAGAGGGTGCGGAACTGCTTACCCTATCCCGCTGGAAAGTCGTTACAGTGTACTTGAAAAATGCTAGTTTGCCGTCATCACCTGCCACCTGGAGGCATGGATCGCTTGAAAACGAAGTTTCTTGACCTGAATTTGAACGCAAGTCTCCTTCAGCGTATTGTGGAGTGCTGAAGGGTCTGCCTCAAACTCTGATGAAGACGTCGACCTTAGCTGCAAGTGCAGTGAAGCGGGAGGCCACAAACTAAAGCTCGGTCCATCGACAATGCTCTGGCTCAATTTCTAGCTGATTTCTTTGCCCTTCGAGTGGACAAAATAAATTTGAAAAATCGATCTGGGAAGCGACAATTTTAATGACGCGGAGGAAGTATCTGATATGGCTGTGCATTATACATATAGTTCGCACATGGTATATCAGTAATATCTCCATTGTAAAGACTTTGAGTAATGGTACAAAAGGCCTCGTTAAAATTTCCAGTGGCTTCTGTGCGTCCGTGTGTTACCGGTAATTTGTTTTCCTCCAGCCAAAAATGTATTCACACGGTATATTGAGCAACATGTCACAGAAATGACAGGCTGTACATGTGCTCATGTGTTTGTTGTGATTTTCTGTTTGTTTTGACGGATAGATCGGACCTGCGATCCAATTATCTGCTCAATTCAGGAATTTCTGGTGTGGAGGTTAGTGTCCGAAATGCCGGTATGTATTTATCTGTGTATGCGTGCAAGTAGGCGGACGGATGGGCAAATGGACCAATAGATGGAAGCACGGGCGTGTGTGTGTGTGTGTGTGTGTGTGTGTGTGTGTGTGTGTGTGTGTGTGTGTGTGTGTGTGTGTGTGTGTGTGTGTGTGTGTGAGTGTGTGCGTGCGTGCGTGTGTGTGTGTGTGCTTTTAATGAGGCTGGTGTTTCAGGTTGTCATATTGCTGTTGTTGTTTTGCAATTTTGATGTGATGTTTTGCGTGCAGGAAGCTGATGTCTTGCTGCTGATTGGAACCAACCCCCGGTTTGAAGCACCTCTGTTCAATGCACGCATCCGAAAAAGGTATTAGTACCATTGCCTTATGCTCTGCTCTTGTCCTCCATAGTTGGATGTGGAGTGAAGAGGGGTGGTAGATGGGTGATAGATGAGTATGGGATGAGTATGGGATGAGTATGGGATGAATATGGGATGAATATGGGATGAGTATGGGATGAGTATGGGATGAATATGGGATGAGTATGGGATGAATATGGGATGAGTATGGGATGAATATGGGATGAATATGGGATGAATATGGGATGAATATGGGATGAATATGGGATGAATATGGGATGAGAGTATCGTGGAGCAAACATTATGATGCTGAGATTGTTGGTGGTGGAAAGAGGGCAGAGGGAGAGAGAGAGGCTGAAGGAATTTGTGGGAGCTGGAGGTTGATCAGACTGTCTCAGCAGCAGGATACAGCAGCAAGGACAGCAAATTCTGATGCAGCTGCTCACTGCCGATTATCATGTCTGCCATGACTGACGACAGGTGCTCAACTACGAGAAGGTCGGACTTCGTCAGCGGCAGCTCAGCAGCTTCATCACTACGCTCGACATCGACACAAACACGTCCTAGTATTCGCACTGCCTTGCCACTAACATCCACAATCTGAGTGGCATCAGACACGATGTACAGGTCCATGGCCGACGCTGCTGACGCCGCAATCAAAGAGTTGCTGGAGCAGGAGTCTATAGCTGCCGACAACCGATGCACATCATCAGCATCACTCTGCCGTGCGTCCACATAAATGCGTGGCAAGCTACACGGGGACGATGTGGCAGTCACGGCTAAATAAACACCAGTGTCAGCTCCTGACTTGGCCACACTGGTCGATTGCTTGCTGCGCTTGAGGCAGTTAGCCTGCATGTGTCCCTTCTCTTTACAATGAAAGCACTTGCCCTTCAATTGGGGACATAAACTACGTTTGTGCCCTGACTGCTTGCAGTGAAAACACGATACACTAGAGGGAACAGCAGCAGACGAGGATCCCGTGTTGTTACTACTGCTGGCAGGTGCTGATACGGAACTTGAAAACTGGCGCGTCACTCGTTGCGCAGACCGTAATGCCTTCACCTGATCCGCACACTGGCGAATCGTCATCGAGCTCGCCGCATTCTGCAAACGAATCTCTCCGGCAAACTCCACAGGTAATCCGGACAAGAGCTGCTGCTTTAGCACAGGGTCCTCACTGACCTCTGCATGGCCACTGCACCGCAACACGTGTTGCAAATCCGCCATATAAACGTTGACAGTCTCGTCTGTTCTAAGCTGACGACACACAAATTTGACATATGCTTCCTCTTTCGTGCTGCCAAATGCAGAACGCAACTGGTCATAAATCAATGTATCGTCCTTCTGCGACGAATCCTCTAACTGAGACCATACTGCAACATCTAACTGAGACCATACTGTAAAAGATACCATACTTTAAGAACATCCTTGTCCAAGAATAGTGGTAAGTATTCAGCTCGCTTCTCTTGCTGCTGCCATCCTTGTATTTCGGCAACAACTCTAAATTTTGCCCGAAAATTTCAAGGTCTTCGCTCCGGCCACCGCCAAAAGCTTTCAACAACGACAGACCGACAGAAGACGACATTCTCAGCAAGCGACACTAACACTACTCTAAGCCGGGTTTTGGTATCACTTTGTGTGAGAATTAGACTATTATTATTACATACTGATGCCTGTGTCTAATTCCATTTCCACAACAAAACCATTCATAGTAACCGGTACAAACAGTGGACCATTAGGACCCTTTTCAGTAGACTGAGATAAATTGCACACGTGAAACAACGGTACACTCTCACCAGTATCATCATCATCATCGTACGTCGTGTCGTCATCCAACTGATGGCAATCTTGTTGGCGTTTCTTCGACCGGCAAACGCGATCCAGGTGTCCCATGCGATTGCAGAAACGGCACTTCGTCGACTTGTGGGTACACCCGTCCGCCAAGTGACTCTCTGAACCACACCGGTAACACGTTTTCTTTACACCAGACTTGCCATGACTTGTCGACCTTGCTGGTGTGCGGTTTCGAGTACCAGTGGCAGTAGAGGTACGCCTCGACCTCGAGTCTGACGACTTGACAGCATTTAGAGACGTAGTGTCAGGACGCATCTCTGCAGCAAACTTTGCCGCACTCTCCTCATTCAGAGCAATCTTACTGATTTTCTGAAATGTGTCGACATCTCCGTCTGGCTTCGCCAGAATTAATCGTTTCACTGCAACACTCCGCAAACCACTGATGAACTGGTCCGACAGCGCTCTATCCGAATGGTTCTCAAACTTGCAGTCTACAGCACTGCGTTGCAGTCGATGCGAAAAAGTCAGTCACTGACTCGGTCGGAAGTTGATTACAGTTCCTGAAAGCGTGCGCCGCGCTCAATCGTGATGTTTGAACCTTGTAATGATCCGTCAGTTTCCTCACGATCTCCTGATACTTCAAATCACTCAGAGCTTTAGGTAAACAAAGAGTCTTCAGTGTGGAGTAAACCGTTTTACTCAGAAGAGAGATAAGATAAGCTGATACCCGTTTTTCACGAGTCTTTTCAGCCGTACTGGCATTCACCGCCACAACTCCGATTTCGTTTGCACAAAAGAAAAATACAGTCTCTCCCGCTATTCATCAAAATCTCCGCCGTCAAACGGCTCTACGTGGCCTTGGCCATGGCAATGGAAACAATTCGTAACTATCACGACTGTAGTACAAGAACAACTCTATTAATAATTATATCTTCGTCGCCATTGTTGTGTCAACGCTCACACAAAGTACTCTTCAAGTTCACCAAGAAGAAAGACCATGTTTTCCTTACGCATGCGCAATATGACATGTGAACGTGTAGTCATAATATAATAACTACACTGCATAGCAGGTTTATACAATGAATAAGAGCAAATGTGAAGGAGCCATCAAAACTACGCTCCTTTCCGCACAACAAAAAAAAACAGCAAGAAAGAACAAAAAAGATCGCAGAATCACTTTGAAAATTGATGCTGAAATCTTCAAGTTCGTTGTGGAATACCCGATTTTGGCCGCATAAAAGTCTGAGAATTCTTATTCGACGCAAACAAAATGTAGGCAAACCGACTTAAAACACTCAAAAAGCGATCTGCGTGCCAGCACAAAGCCCCCAACGGGACCCCAAGTCACACAGCCAAGTGTTCCTGTACAAACCCTGGAGAAAATGCCTGTGCATGGTGCTCACCAGTGGAGCCCCTAGTCTTACTTATGTGAAACTCTGTCCTGTTCACGTTCGTGTGTAGCTTGTCCTCTTGCTGTGACTTTTGCTGCGATAGGAGCTGTGGTGACCAGTGTGTTCATGTGATGCTGTGTTCCTGTGCTGCTGTGTTGCTGTGCTGCTGTGTTCCTGTGCTGCTGTGTTGCTGTGCTGCTGTGCTAATGTATGGTACTGTGATTGGTGTGTTGGCTTACAGCTGGATACACAATGACCTGAATGTAGCCATGATTGGGTCAAAGGTGGACTTGACCTATGACGTTGAGGTTAGTTAGGACTGTAGTTGTATGGTTGATTGCTGACCTTGCACATCTGCTATGCACTGTGCATGTGTACGCACTCATTGCGCAACCATCGCGCATTCACTCGCCCATGCATGCACTCATGCACACATGCATTCTTTTGGTCTTCTTCCACAACTGTCAGTAATTACACGTGTTGACTACTTTGTGGCCAGGCAGCAATAATG